ACAAGAAACGGGATGATGACATCGTGGATCTATTAAAAAAAGCTCAAGCTTCCTAAATTCCGTAGATTCGTGAGTGGCGAGTCATGTGGCCACGCAGCAATATTTAGATGTCGCGAATAATCGGTTGTTTTCCTACCAGGACGATGACGGATCTCGCGAGGGTGTCAGCGTATATTTTCGCCTCCGTTCGAACATCGGGCACCGACATCGACCTCGTTCTTTTGATTGCATTATTCGTAAACGAGGTAGAGAATAGTTGTAAGTACGAAGTTGGCTAGTGTTGCCAACTTGCCGCATCTTTCGGAGAAATGCGCGTCAATTTCGCGAAAGAAACTTGCTGATCAATTTATTGCGTCTTACCAAATGTGATCCCGCTTTTATCATCTTCCGTCGTGGAGGGGAATTAATCGCGTAACTGGAACTAATTCTAATAACTTGTTAAACGTTCCTCAAAAAATTGTTTCGATTACCATGAAAATTGCAGAATCATTTAATACGACGATACGCACACTAGCAAACGAAACGGATAGAACACGATGAACATGGACTAGTTTTCAGAGCAGTTGAACACGTTTTCTAGAAAGTCATTGTACGTTTATTTGTAATACCAATACACGGTGCATGTAGGAACATCGAAATGGTACTTTGTATTTACGCGATGTATAAAGTAACCTAAATATCTCTATAAGTCTGTTTTATTGGTCTGTTGATTTCAATAGATCTCTCGCGATCTTCCCTATTTTATTCAAACGCAGGCGCACTGTGTAATTTGAATAATTTCTCTCTTCGATCCACGACGAGTCCTGAAAAATAAAAACGAAAATATATTTAATTGCATTTATATCGCAGATGATTAATCTTCATCCTCGGATACCTGTATTCGTGAACTTTGAATCTAGCGGGCGTACAAGTATGTTGCTTCGAGTACAGGGCAGCCAAACATCTCGATGGCTCTTTTTTGTCTCTCAAAAGACACATTTCCGTCTCATTCCCTGGACACGTCCCAACACATTGTCCGACGTTAATTTGCTATTTGTGCAAATACGAAGACAACGATAAATTCTAATATGATATCATAGCGGCGGTCTCAAATGGTGTGGCAAGAAATTTACCCGAACGACTGGCCTGACATCCGTTGTGTTCGTACCATCCTTAATTTCGACTTCGCTAAAATCTAGAACGGTCTCCATATGATCCATTTTGTGGCATGTTCCAGCGCAGCCACATTTCTCAATCACTTGATACACTTCGTCTCCTGAAATATAACATGATATAACATGATATACCTATCTCGATTGAAATTACAACATCTATTGCAAATGTGACATACCATTCGGTCCTTTGATGCTAACCGTACTGTTTCTCACCGGTTTGCATCCAAGATCTTTTAAAAGGCACATCGACGATTATCGATAAAGATTGGCGAGCAATTGATATCGAACGAAAGAGAATTAGATACCTTTAGCACAGTGACCCATACATACTCCTACATCCATCACGGCCTGATGAGGAGTGCCAGAATGAACGAGATGTGTGAAAGACTCTCGCCTACAGGATGAATCCGGCGTGCATTCGCAAGCTTCTGTCACTTCGATCACACGAACCCCTTGAATTGTCGATACCCTCTCTAGTTTCGCCGCATTTGGACGACAATGTGACTCTGGGAAACATCTCTGAGAGAAACGAAAAGTGCAGAAGATGAATTCCATTGAATATGGTCAAAACGGGAACTTGGATATTTTTTTAATAGGACGGGATAAAATATTGCCGCTGGTGAGGAGGAAGAACACGAAATGGTTGGCCATGTATCACACAGGGAAACATTTTATCGATACAGATATGTTGAATGAGCAAAGCAAGCACGCGACTTCACAGAATTCGTACTTTATTTCGTCGTACATTTACCAACCGAAAAAGTATCGATAGTGTTCTCCACGGAGGAATTCATAATATTCTCTATACCGTGCACCTCGTTATCTCGTTCGGACGTTTTCTTTGATACTCGATTTCTTTCGTGGCACGCGAGCCATTTAATTATTCTCGCTGCGGGATAACACCGACCGTTATTATCTTTGTCCGATCAAAGGCATCAGTGCTTCTCTTCTCTCGTTTATCCCCCTGATGATATTTCTGGCTAAGAATATTTTCTAATAAATTCTGTTTTCAGATACATCCATCCTCGAGATCCCAGGAACGCGATTCGGGATTTAGTAGCTGGCCAAGCTGGCGCCGGAGCGGTGACCTGGCACGATGCGACCTTCCAAGGACGTAAGACACAACCTCTTCTTTCTCCATATCGCGTGCAACATTTTTTCTGCTCAAGCCTGTTTCTTTCCTGCCCAGGGTGTGGGTGTTGCAAGATCATGAACCACCGATTTGGTCGCATCAAGTGACGAAAATAGCTTGCTCCTCAGAAAGGCTCATTCTCGAATTATACTTACTTACAGGAATTATTACGGCACGTTCGTTTACCATTCTAAATTGGAATCCATTGCAGTTCTAACGTGGACTTGAAACAATAATCGCGATTCATACATAAACGAAGCGAAAGCACGTGATGATTTTTTTTAACCGCGATATGATTGTCGATGAATTTTGGAAAATAGAATGTTCAAGGTACGTACATATATATGTATAAAAAGAATATGATGATCATCGACGAAGATACACGATTCTCAATACACGGGGTGTAGTCGCCGTAAAAGTCGCGAAGATCGTACAATCGCGCGATGCTGCGTGGCCGCATTCCAGCTGGCGGATTGGTCGATCTCATGCGTCATAAATCTACATGACGTTCCTGCCTTTTTCGCCCCTCGTATAGCCCTTGGCATACGTAACCTGCCATAGCAACGTACATATCGCGTTAATTTTTTTTTTTTTTTTTTTTTTTTTTTTTTATTTGTGAATTTGATCTTTTTGTCTGGTCCTTTGTTTTCTCTTTGACACTGTTCAAACAGAATTCCTCGACGTCCAATTGTGAGATCGATCTTTTCGCTATACACCGGCTTGTTTTATTGAAACTTCCCAATGTTTCAATGTTCTTTTTCAACATTTCTGTGAATTCTGAAATCGTTTTCTTCTCTTTTAATCCCTTGCCTTGATTTCCTTCCCAGTCTTCAGTAAACATTACGCTTGTTATAATATGTTGCATCGTGTCAGCATGTCGTGCAAAGCATTATATACAATTTGTATCAACTTTCAGTTTGAATAGGCAATATTGAAAATTGAAACATTCATATTCCATAAGACTTCAATTTGCTTTTTCTTTCAAACCTTGCAGACTCTTTCGAATCTTTGAAACATCACAAGTGTAACTCGATATTATAACTCAAAGGGTTAATCGTAAAATAAGCATGTTCGTGACAATGAATTTTAAAAGATTCCAGGTTCGACGAATTCAACAATTTCACGACCGGTTCGATGGTTACGTGTCTTTTTATTGTAAACTCGATGCACTAAGACGGCCATCAACCGAAAAGTTTTTTGACCAGGTGCATCCTGCGGCAGATGAGTCACGCAGTGCACACATCTATGTGCCTCCATAACTCTGCATTCCTTATATAAACCGAAATTTTCAAAAGCAAAAAATATGCGAAAAAATGATTTACCTGTACAGTAGGTCGACTCGCGTCTCCTGGATCGTCTAGCACGTGTCGTGGGCATAGTTTACGACAATGGCCTGCATCAATTTGGATAATTTCGCCCGATATTCCTGTTAAAACAAGTAAATACAAAATATGGCTGGAAAGAAGGATTAGCATTAACGATAAAGTGTAGCTGGCGAGGTTCAATGAAATTTCAGTAGTGCCATAGGATGATGTTGTTGATGGTGTGCGCTGTGGCGTTTACACGTGAAAAATGAGACGCGTGTAAATCCGATGGCGCCGGTCGATAATGCTCGCGATCACTGTACAAAATTTACGACTTGTATTACACTAAATAAATTAAC